TGTTCCCTGACTACAGAATGTCTCCCTTTTAGGAAACTGGTCTTTCAGTTGCTTTTTCTTCCTGAGCCTCCTACCCACTGGTTAGTACTTCAGGACTGCAGAAGGGGTGTGCTTCCTGCTGAGTCTTTGCTAGTACAAGGAGATCTGCATCTCCCCCCACCCCCATTTGGCACTTAACCCTGAAGGCAAATGACCTTTGGGCTCCAAACATGCTTTTCACTTTGTTCTGTCTCTCCGGTAGTCTCAGTGCTGTGTCTCTGTTAATAGAACCTGAGGGGGCATCGGTCTTGCAGGTCTGTGATGATTCGTTATACAATCATGTCAGCTAAACCTCATGCATTTTTCACATTCATCTCCTTTCCCTGCGTCACCACTGTAAAGTTTATTTTAAAGACTAAAATGTGGATGGGGTGTGTCTTTTTATGTTACAACTTGTTACCTGTAGAAGCCTGCTCCCACTTTTTGCGGCCCTTTAAATAATTACTCTTGGTGCATTTGCTGACTTTTCAGCGTTTTCTGAATGTCATTAATACTTCCAAGTGACTTGCATTCATCCAAGATTGTTAACTGACTCCTTTTCCCGGAGAGTAGTGGTAGGAACAGCATGGTCTATTGAAGGCATTCTGGAGACCCTTTATCCTCAGCTGTCAGGGGGACTGAGCAGTGCTTCCCTGAAGGAAGGTCCCTGCTTTGGCTTTTGCCTCCCTTCTTGTTGCCTCATGGGGAATCTGGCCACGGGACTATAGTCCTGGGGCCACTGTTTGGGGGACTCGGGATGGGAGAGTGCTGTTGACTAAAACAACTCCTGTCTCCCTTGGAATTTGGGTGTTATTCTCTGTATTCACTTTCTCTGCCATTCTGATAGATTACCACAAACATAGAGGCTTAAAACAACAGAAATTGATTCTTTTACAGAAGCGTAAAAATCATGGTGTCTGCAGCATTGTCCCCCCTGGTGGCTCTGGGAGACAATCTGCCCTGTGCCAGACTCAGCTTGTGGGGGCTTCCAGCAGTCCTTGGAGTTCCTTGGCTTGTAGCTGCATCAGTCCAATCTCTTTCTCTGTCTTCGGATCACAACGCCTCACATTCTCCATACCTGTTTGGGTCTTCTCTTCTTCATAAGGACACCAATCATCAGATTTAGGATTCCCCCTAAATCCAGATGTTCTAATCTGAAGATCCTCAACTTGAACAACACCCTCCAAGACCCTGTTTCCAATTAAGCTCACATTTCACTGGTAGCCAGGATTAGGGCTTGGACATATCGCTTGGAGGTGGTGGCCATATGGTAAGATGAATGAAGTCTCTGCTCACATGTTTGCTGACAAAGCAGGGTGTTAAGGGCCTCTAGCATGAGCTCTAGTCATGAGGTTCAATTGGTTTTGAAGCCCACCTAATCTATGGGCAGAGTCAAAGAACATGAAGGTGACTAAGGAGCCCTAGAAGTCTCCTGTCACCCTGTTGAAGAAGTGGCCTGGCTTTTTTTCCAAAAGGCTATGAGCCTTCTACCCACTGGTCAGGACTTCAGGACTGCAGAAGAGGTCTGCTTCCTGCCCAGTCTTGGCTCCTCCAAGGGAATCCACATCTCCCCTCACTATTTGGCATTTAACACTGAAAGCTCAAGGAAGTGGGTTGTGACTCACAGAAGTAAATTGTGTGTTCACTCAGTGCACTGCAAATGGATGGAAATCCACAGTCTCACCTGTGGGGTGCTTTTGCCCAGTTTTCCCCCCTGGGATTGCTTCTTAACCTCTGAAGAATTGCATAGAATTAGACTTTTTCATGATGTTATTTAAAATTTTTATTTTAATGTAATACAAAGTAGATATTAATAAATAAAGTATAATAACTACTCTTTTATGAAAAAATAAAACAAAATTTCATAACAAAACATTTGGAGACTAGCAATAGTTAATATACTGTATATCCTGATTTTAAAAGAATGGCCAAAATGTTACTCAGAGTACAAGTCCTAGACAATAAAAGACTCTCTCTTAACAAAGAAGAAACAAAGCTTTCTTCTCAATGAACAAAAAGGAGCTCGTAATATAAATGAAGCAAATTAGCATATATCTTAAAATATTTTTGAAACAATGGAAGAGATAATTTGGAGATTTGAACTTCTCCCTACTTCTTATCTTCTATTTAGCTCTTTATCATAAAGTTATTTTGCATCTAAAATCAAGGCAGGCTTCAGTACTCTCATTTTATTTATAAGCTAAATGTCCACAAGAAATGTTATACCGTGAGGGGGAAAAAAAATCTCAGTATGATGGATTTTTACAAAGGAATTTATGTGCTAGAAGTCTAGCTCCATTGAATGATTTGGATAGTTCTGTGGATGTCCTTAGTAAGAATTCTGGGCTTGGACTTATTAAATATAGGCTTCATCAACAGTTTTGAAGCATTGATTAATTTCCATAGTTGGCTTGGGCCATGCTGTTGCTAGGACTGATAGGAAGTATGTTAGCCAGTAAGGACACCCATCAGACACATTGCCACATGAGGACCCTTGGCTCGCGCAGCTCAGCCACACATGCCAACATCCATGCAAATCTGACAGGTGTTTATCAGTCAGCCTTTATGTCCTAGCATGAGTGGCCTGCGGTGACAGCCGTGTTTCAGTCTTGGTGCATGTTCTTTGTAGAAAGAAAATAGCACAGCTGATGTTGGGGCACCAGTACTTGACTGATAACATGGGGTTGTCACACACGTGTCCGATTTTCTCACCGGTCACTTAGCACTTTAATGACTCATCTTAAGGCAAGTGCTTTTGGAGAGTTTGACTGACCAAAGTGAGATCAACGAGATGATCTGTTCTAGCATGTGTGTGGATTCAGACAACCTGTGGACCCCTTCCAAAAGATATCAAGATGTCTCAGAAGTGACCTCTCTGGGCATAGGCCAAGGATGAATTCTCATGAGCCTTGGAGAAGTACTCTGTGGGGTGGCCTTCCAGAGGTAAGACTTGCTTTGATCCCCAAGAAAGGACACGTGAGGAATTACCATGTAACTAGAGAGAAGGGTATTAGAGGAGAGACCCTGCTACTCACTGGGCAAGGAGACCACAGCCTCTACAGTGGTGTGTGTGGCTTGAGTCCCAGGTGGAAACACCCGGTGTGATTGTCAGTGCAGATATATGACACCAGATCTGTGGTGTGTAAGGACGATCACAGGACTCCTTCACTTGGAAGAGGAAAACAGGTTGGAGATGTTAGGGGAATGAGAGATACGGAGCTGAGCAGAGAGCATGTCTACTTAGAGCCACGGCGCCACAATTGGCATCAGCCTGGCTTTGCCCTGACAGGAAGTGCACCTGGGGCTTGTGTAAGTGGATGAAGGGCATTGGTGGAACTGTGAAAGGATGAGGAGGTGTATCAAGAGGAAAGGAAGAAGAAACATCTGGAAGAAACAACAACCAGGAGGGATTCGTGAAGCTAAAAATAGGAAATGCTTACCTTCTCTGCAAGCAGAAATGGAGGAGAAGAAAAGAGGAGAAAACTCACAACTCAGAAATTCTGTTAACAAAAAATCACCCTGACATCTCCTAAAATGATAAAAACAGACATTGTCCAGGGCCACTGCAATCAGAATAGGGACTGCTATGATGGGAATAGAGGAGAGCAATTGGCTCAACTCAAAGCATATGAAAAAGAATGGATTTTTCTATCCAAGATGCTGGATGAGGGACTGGTAGGTGGAAAACTACTGAGGGGAAACTTCCAGGAAGAGGGAGATTCTAGCTGTGCTCTACAGGATGCATACCCTGTAGCCCTGTAGGGTTCTGGCTGTAGATAGCCAGGTAATCATACACGCGGACCATGAGAACCAATCAGATGACAGGGAGATTAGAGCTGGATGAAGGGGAATTCTGTCTAAGAAAAATGTCAACAGATTTTGTTTTGGGATTGAACTGGCTTTTATGGGTGAGATTCATGAAATGGAGGGCATTTTATTCTGGTAATAGAAAGGTGTCCTGACGAGCTGAGCAGACTTGTACATTATAGGCAGAAGAGTGTGGTATAACTGTAAACAGAGAACCTGAAATAGATTAGTTGTTTCAGTTGCTTTTCTTGTACAGGTTAAAGTGGAAGAGACTTCCTTATCACGCTGGCTCAGGTCAGCTGGGCCCCTTTTGATTGGTTGCTGCACCTTCTATGTTATGGAAAACCAGCGTTCTTAAATTCACTTTACTATCAGGCACCTAGGGGGAGTGACCCAGTGCTTGATTTAATCTGGACTATTTGCCCCAGTCTAAAAAATCTCAGCCCCGAACATTGACCTCTCGTACATTTTCTTTAGCAGCAGGATTCTTGCTGAAGTGGGGTGGTTCAAAGCCAAATTTGGTCGTAGAAGATCTTCGGCTTCTATGGGAAACACGGTTACGTGAACATTAAGTTGTATTCATGTGCATAGGTCCAAGCCCTTGGGGTAACACAACTGCCTGCGGGTGTTTACTTGCATACATGTGGGTGCTTTGACCTTGGGTAACAAAAAAAGGTTCCTGTGGGTCTAGACAGACATCTTTAATACTTTCTAAAATGTTAGGAATGTCTGAGGGAAGACCCAGGAGTTTCACAAGGGATTGTAAAACTGCAAGAGTGACAGACGAGCTGTGTTTATTCTCTCCAAGGGGAGAGCGGAGGGGAAGGTATATAAAATGTTCATGGCTTCTCTGCTGTTGTACGATGATTGTGATCTAATGTAGAAACAGAGCCTTGGTGGGAGGTAACTGTAAAAAATTAAAAATAAATAAACAAAAACCAAACCCCTGGCCGATTGTCGTTGAGAGCAGTGCAGACATGTCTGAGTAAGAAGGCTGAGGATCAGCAGCAAGAAGGGAAGCAGGGAGGGGCCTTGTCTGCAAGGGAAGGAGAGGAATGGCTGTGCTTTAATGAACAAAATGAGATAATATAATTGCACATTGATTTTCATTGTCACGCAAAGGGTGAGATTTCACATGGGTGGATGGTGAAATGATCCATTTATTTCATTCACAGGTTGTATTCAGACTATCTCTACTTTGCAAGTTCGAATAAATCTGCAGATGACTTCCATGAAAAAGTGACAGAAGCTCTGCAGCTGTTTGAAAATTGCATGCTCGATTATTCACTGCGTGCCTGCGTCTACAACAACACCCTCAACAACGCCATGCCTGTACGTATTCACCGAGCACCCTGAGCGGAGTGGGCTGCTTTGTAGTTATGCAAGGGGCATCGTGGACCTGGGTTTAGCACAGAAGCACAGACAGCAGCATTTTAATGTGCAAATGCCGCTCAGCTGCCTTTGAGAGGCGGGTGATGGGAAAACAAATTCATGGACATAAAAGCTGGGAATATCGATGGGTCCTTTCAGCGTTCTTCCTGCTTTCTTCCCTGCTGATCAGCCAGTCGCAGTGCTGTGCCCTCCTGTGAAAGAACCAGGGTGCATTTAGGAAGATTACCATTTAGCAAGGCTGCTAAAACACACCCAGCAATTAGAGTCGAAGACCGAAGGACACCTAGCTCTCAAATTGTAGTAAGAGCATCTCTGGCGTATGTATTGTTCAGTTTTAAAAATTACCGAACCAGTGATTTTGAATGGTTCTTTGTCAGGGTCCCAATTGAAAAATATCTTCCACTGTTCTCACTATCCATTTTCTTGCTTTCTCTTAAGGAATATACCTATATATTTCCAGCCTTCCTTATGCAAAAGAAAAAAAAAATGTTGGTGCTGGTGATTCTGTACCTTTAGGCTGAGGATTTGGGTGACCCTGAGTGCTTCCTCAGTGGGGTTTGTGCTACAGGTAGCCAAGACTGCCACCTGGCCACACTGGGGTTTACCAGCCTTGCTCTGCCCAGTGGGTAAGGCGTGAGCCACTGTGGTGGAGGCTTGGATGCCCCAGGGCAGTGGGGCTCAAGGCTGAAGCTTCACTCCTTCTGCCTCATTAGCCTAGAGTGACTTGGAGACTTAAAGACCCCCCCACCTTTTTTTTTTTTTTTTTT